TTATTATTATTATTATTATTATTATTATTATTATTATTATTATTATTATTATTATTATTATTATTATTATTATTATTATTATTATTATTATTATTATTATTATTATTATTATTATTATTATTATTATTATTATTATTATTATTATTATTATTATTATTATTATTATTATTATTATTATTATTATTATTATTATCATTAATTAGTATTGTTGATAATTAATGTTATTAATAATGATATATCAATAATAATAATTTTTTCTAATAATGATAATGAGAATGATAATAATGATTAATAATAATGAATAGCAAATGTTATTATTAGTAACATCAATTATTAATAATAATGATAGTTAATAATTAATAACATAATTGGTAACGTTATTAATAACAGCAACAAATAATAACAATTATTATTACTATTTATTATCATTATCACTATTATTATTATTATTATCATCGTAATAATCTTTGTCATTACCATAAATTATTATTAAATAATAATATTACTATTGCTCCATGTACGCTGCGCTTCCATCCTTATTGTATCTGGCTTTATCCATTGTCAATAAAATATCATTTTTCGTTTCTTTTTTCTTCTTGACTTCTTCAGTTTTGTTTATTGTTTTATTTAATAGCAAAATAAAAAAAAATATTTTCGAGGAAAAAAGAGCAAAAAAGGAAAGTGCATATGAAATGATATCAGAAATTTAACATAAAAAAGAAAAATTAAAAAATACTAATTGGAAATATTATTAAAAGTTAACCCCTTTTTAAATAGCAAAATTGCTGATTGAAAATGTTGAAATGAATTTGAGAAAAATGATGTGATAATTAAGGAGAGTAAATAATAGAAATGAAATCACCCTGCACCTAACTTTTACCTTAATGGCACATCATATACCTAATGAAAGAGAAACGAGTTATCAATGATACTAAAGCCTATCATCCAACGAGTGAAAAATGATGCCATAAACAATGATGGAATTATTTGTCCCAAACATTTACTTCGACTTCATGTATCTAATGAAGGGGAAACGAGCTATCAGTATTGTTAACGCCTAATCATTCGATAAATAAAGAGTGATGCAATTAGTAATGACGCTTAACGGTGATAAATTTGTCCCTAACATTTTTTTCTTTAAGATATCACCTCATGTATTTAATATAGCAAAACAACAACTTAATCAGTGTTATCCAATTCCTTATCAGTGAACGACTTGTCAGTAACATTGCCTTGAGGCTCATAACGCCAAATGTTAGTCATTAGCAGAGTTAGGGTTATCAATTCTAATACTTGGTGTTTTGTTATTAAATTTTTTTCTTTTCAAGTTGAAATATTTTATATTTCAAAAAAGAATAATTGAAGTGAAGTGATTGATTAACAATTCCAACAAAATAAAATAAAATAAAGAACTGAGAAGCAGACAAAACAGAAGCAGACAAGAGAGAGAGATGGAAAGGAGGGGTAAGAGGGAGAGGGAGGAATGGATGAAATAGTGTAGTGTAAAGAACGGGAAGAACAGCAACTTCGATTATGCATAGATACATTTCATATACACATATAACTGATTATATATGTAAATTATTAGCACTGGGTTTAAAATTAAAAGGTGGAAAAATAAGGGAAGATGAAATATTAATGGAGAAATACAACAGTTATGAATACGAAAAAAAATAGTACGCAAAGCAATTGATTAATAATTTAGAGAAAATAGAAAGAGACTAATTGATGTATATGAGAATAATTTTTCTAGTTGCCAACGGAAAAGAAAAACATCGAAATTGAACAAAAAAAAAAAAAAGAAAAAAAAGACGAAGAAGGGAAAAACCGAAATAGGAAAAAAAACCGGTGAAAAAGTAAGAAATTGAACAAGGAATAATTTATGTGATTATATAATTAACGATTATTTTGGCATTATGAAACCATCAGCAAAAGAAATAAACACAACAGATTTCTTCCGCTGAATTAAGATTGATGACTATGGAGAAAAATGAACTCAAGATCATTCTCCTCTTTCCGTTTTTTTGCTATTTTCTAAGTTCCTTTATTTCCAAAATACTCAGAAACGACTTCAATTGCAGAAATTGGATCACAGGAAGAAAAGCACCACTATGCAAGGAAGCGTAACTTCCTTCTTCTTCTATCTTCATTTTGCTTTTTATTCTTCATCCTAGCGTAATTACTTTGGCAGTCCGGAAATTTCAAACTTTGCTAAATGCTTTTGCTTTTATTGTAAAATAATTGACTATTCTTCTAATTAAGCAGTACCATAATGGCAGAAAAATTGAAAATTGTAAAGGATTTTCAATTACTTTTTTTGATTCGAATAAATAAAGAGGGTTATGAAAAAAGGTCACTAAATGAAAATAAAATACATCAATCAGCAGAGAAAGTAATAATTTCGAAAATCTTCACAACAATTATGAAAACAGCAAATTTAACAAATATATATAATAAGCGGCAAGAAACTGCACAATCCTCTAGCACGTCCAACACATAAGCTATGATAACATTTTTATACAAGACTAAATTTTGAAATAAATCAGAATGCGAAAAAAAAGAGATTAAGTGAATAAATCATTCTAAGCATCAAAATCCATATCACTAAACTAATCCACAAACATGGATAAATTATATCAATTAATGATGGAAAGGAAGAATGAAAAAGAAAGAAAGAAATGAATATGAATACAAGTATTTGTAAATAACATTCCAATAGCAATAATTTCTTATTCATCACGAAATTTGTTCTATCAAGTCATCACATGTACTATATGTTTCATTTCGATAATGATGAAAAATAGAAGAGCGGTTCTGCGTTATCCAGAAGACTACCTGTTAATACTGTTACTATGTGGAATTTTCGGACCCTGCATATATTGATCTTGTAATGTGAAACCATCAATTGTTGCCGAAAGATGCTTTGTTGGTATTTGCGAAAATTTCTTTGCACCCGAATCATATCTTAAAGAACAATAAACAAATAATCAAATCAATAATCTACGGGGAGACACGAAAACACCACTATAATGATAAATGGATCTCAGTTTATATTAGTGATCCAAAGCGATAGGCTTCTGCAGCTCATTTCGAAAATATCTGAGCATTATATGGTATTACAAAAGAACATATATTTACTAAGTTTAACTTGCAATGCGCATCAAGTAAGACCGTTCACGAAAGATATCAAAACCACACGAAATCATTCTCAAATCATTCCTTTGTTGTGCTATCCGTTCTATTCTGGCTAATTAAACGGCATAAAATTAAAGTCTCTTTATTAGAGTAGCAACCTTTTAACCTTTTACCTCATTGTTTCTATGACTGATATTTACACTCACATTTTACCATTTATTTAGTGTTTAATGTCCTTGTTCTAACAATGTAACAGCGCATATTTTGAAATATGAATTGAAGAGAAAAACATACTTGAACATAAGATGCATCATCGATTCATGACAAATATTAGGGCCTCTTCCATGAATACGATGAGCGGCATCTGATTGTTGATCCCAACTATATGCGCCTAAATAGCGACATTTTTGATCCCGGAACAGCAAAAGAAAGTGTTTACTGTCACTTTTTGCTAGTTCACCAAGTACCTGAAAATTTTGAGTAGAAATAGGCATATTACATAAATTGGACACTTTGGCGTAACAGTGTCTAATTAAACTATCTTATTAAATTTCATTCTTAGCACTTAGAAAAATCAAAAAAAATCTCTGATAGTTTTAATTAAAAACAAAAACTGTGTTAAACTTATTTGAAATGCATGAAAAATAGCAATTTAGGTCTTATTGTAGTCATAAAACAAAAAAAAATTTACTTCAGCACGCTGTTTATCCCAAACACTTCCGGGAAACACCGAATATTGCAAAGCATTTATAATCATTGATCGATTCGATTTATGGACATATTTCGAGAAGAGTTTCAGTGCTGTAATCACGAAATATTGAACAAGTTGGGACGATAAATATAGTAACCTTCTATTTTAATTTAATATTAAGCAAATGATAAAAACACACTAAAATACAGAACTGAGGCATTTACTTGGTTCAGCAGTACTTGGTACAGGAATACGAGCTGACGACGGCGCACTGCTCTCTTCAAAGCTACTCTGTGATCGACCTTGACGTTTCGTTCGTAGATTCGTTCCTTCCATCTTAAAAAAGTCATCCGTTCAAAGCATCACAAAGTCAAATAACTAAATGAAAATAATAAGCCAAAAATTTAAGCCTATAATATCCGAAAAGAGGAAGTTATACTTCTTCAGTTTTTAAAAGTCTTCATCCTCTCCTAGTTTTTTTCTCTTTTTTTCTTCGCCCTTCTCATCCAGCTTTTTCGAATTAAATTTAACGTGACTGAATGACAGAATTTTTTTATATTTTCGAAAAATTATGAGAATAAAGCATTACCGTGCTTTTTGGTCGTGGTACTAAGGGCGGTTGGCTATATCCTCGACTACTGGGTAGATCATTATTTTCCAGCTCTTTTTCCATCTTTTTACGCTTGTAGTCATCTAATATTCTTTGCCTGACGTATAAGCATAAGTAAATTGAGTAAAGTGGAGCTTCCCGCATAAATAAAGTGAGCTTCGTGTTTTGCCACTTTATAAAAATAAAGTACAAAGTGACCTTTGCAATTCGCGTTCACGTTTCCGTTGTTCAGCAGCTTCCTGTCTTTCCAGTTCAGCTTGCCTACGTTCGGCATTTTTAGCTTCAATTTCTCCTACTTTTTGCTCGATTTGTTCACGACGTCGTAAGGTTTTCGCTAACAACGCTTCACGTTTTGCTTCCATTTCAGGAGTCTGTAAAGTATACTAACAAATAACGATTACTATGTACTAGAAATGCTATAAATATTAGAAATTATAAAGTTCAGCATGAAATTTCGATCAAAATTTGGAAAACGAAATTCCAGAGAAGACCATTAATCCAAGAATGCGAGCATTACCATAACCGTTCAGTCGACAAAAATGCCATCACATGTGTTAAAAATACTTACATTCGATAAATCAGCACTATATCAGTCACCAGCACATTCCTCTTAAAGTACCCTTCATTTAAATATACATCTTAACCGATCTTTTTTGTCTTTTTTGGACTCAAACTTTAAGGAGAAATATCTCACAGCTTCTCCACATGAATAATCATCGTTACTTTTACCTTACTACGACTTCACCTAAGCTGGAATTTCTGGAAAAAAAGATATTTATGAAACTGATAAAAGCAGCCATAGCTAAATAACTCAAGCCATCCTACTAGCGCAATACCTGGAAAACTTAATTTTTTTTATTTCCTGATCAAGTGATTTCATGGCCAAGTCACTATCTGACTTGGTATGAAATCACTTGATCAGGAAATATAATTAGCTAACCACGTTGATAACAGGTTTATCAGCTGCATCATCAACAATGAACTGTGAGGCACGCGTAGACGAAAGCTTTCGATTCACAGGTGGAGGAGGTGCATCGGCATTTGTGGATGAAATAGGATCTTTCGGTGGACTCTGTTGATGTCCTGGTTTATCATTCTCCTCTACAATATAAAATATATGTTTCATGCTAGCCAAGAAACTTGACATTTAGGTATGTAAAAAACATCAATTATATGAAAATATTCCCATTTTAAATAGACATTTCAAACTGAACATACGAAATAATCGATTCTTAAATCCACTCAAAGGAATTTTCCAGCTTAAGTAAGCTATACAGTATGATCACACACATGCAAGAAGAATCCTAAGTAAATCATCCGTAAAATAAAAACCAGCGGAGGTATACGCAAAAGCACGATAAATGGATGCAGTTACGTACACTAAGAGAATGGTCAAATTAGTCAAAAAAATGTTACTCTGCTTGATATAAGGATCGAAATCAGTTTGTTGAAGATTCTGAGGCACATTAGCTTCTCTTTGATGTAAGGATACGCATTCCAGCACTTTGACACCATTTACACTTTCAGACGGTTCTGCCAATTGGTTCTAGAGATATAAAAGTTTTGAGGTTTGGAAGTTAAACCAGCAATTTTCGCTGAGTCTCAGAATTCAAGAAACGCAATGTAACGAAACGCCAACCATTAAAATACTGCAGGTGGATTAAGTAAAGTGAAAAAAGACTTGTGTTACCTGCAGCAGTGAAGGAACTCCTGGCAGAAGCTCAGGTTGATTCGATAAATCCATTTCACTTTTCGCAAACGTTTTATTCTCCCAAGTACGCCTTTGTGGCCGCATCGTTTGCCCAGCTTTATAAGTGAGTCCCCAGTTCGTCAAATTACGATTTATCTCAAGCGATGGATCCAGACGACTCGACGATGCCTGGAGCAGAATTACAAGGAAGTAAGTATAGCGAATAAACTAAAATCAACAGTGGGTAAATTTCGAAAACTGTGAACCTTTAAATTTAGATAAAGAATTCGCACCTAAACAATTCTCATCAAAATAAGACCTAAGATAAGCAAAGTGAGAATTAACATCATTTCGATGAAGTCGAAATGTATTGTTCGCAACCGCAGTGGAATTAGCGACAGCATTATTAAGTATAAATGGTGAGCCAACAACAGGATGAGCACCAGTATCCTGTGGATGTAAAACATAGCTACCATCCAGATTCAGTTGATACTGTGGTGTTGGTAGCTGAGAACCGGAAACAACATGAGATGCATAAACAGGCATTGTCGATTGATAGTCCGAATGATTGGAGTATCCGTTCAGAGGCATCTGGAATCAACCGTTTCAGCACTGACATCAATAATCAAAGTAAGTGAAGGCATATATTTTGAAGAGATGCAAAACATTAATAATATGACCAACGGAAACAGCGTTTAGATGAATAACATTCAAATCTTTCATTAAGAAATAAAAAAAAAAAAAAAAAACGGTACAGGAAATCTGTAAGAGAGTACGACCAAGAAGCAATCTACTGGTGAATCGCTGGTTAATTTTGAAAATCAAAAAAGATCAAGTCATCGATCCCTGGATTGGAGAACTGGAATCAATAAATAACTGACTTACATTACTAAAATAAGAAAAAGGCCTTTTTCGAATTTCAGATTTCAGGGAATTTTGAAATTTGAACTTCAAAAATGAGACCTGCAGTGTATGCGTAGGAAACGACTGATTTTGATCCGGTGAATGAAGCGAAGACTGTCCGAACAACTGTGGTTCTAAAGAGGCCATAAAAGGTGTCGCGTAAGTATGCTGCTGTGTTTGGTGCATCGACTTTAGAGCATTATGTGGTAAGGTTGCATAAGAACCGTTAAGCATATGATTTTGTTCATTAATCAAACCAAACTCTGCAAGAAACAGTGGCAATAATGCTGCCACTAAAAAGTTTTACTTCCAAATAAGCGCAATTATCAGAACAAACTATTGGAAATTCCTCCTTTATGGGTGAAAAATGTAATTTCGCTGATGTGATTCTGTAATAACATAGCTATGTATATCTAGAAAGAAATTCCAAAAATCGCCCTTAACATCAGGAATAAAACCTATTATTAGCAATTTATATTCAGTATTCAAAGACCACAATATAGGACTCACAATATTCAAAAGACAAACTACTGCTGGCCAACCTATTATTTAAAAAACTCGACGTCATGTACACAAAAACAGGAAATTACCTGTATGGATAGCAGGTTGAGAAATGGCATGTGTCATTTGACGTTGTTCGTCAACCTGGCGGCTCAGGTGCTCCTGCTGCACAGACATCTCTTGAAGTCGTTTCTACAAAGGAGAGGAGAATAAAGATTAAGTTATAGAATAAATAAATAACGAAGTACAACAACCAAATACCTTCAAATCTTGTACAGTTTCCTTCAAGAAAGACAACTCTTCTGACTGTTGCGCTTGAGAACTACCTATTTCACTTGCTGCACGTGATCGTGCATCGGAACCCTGCAAATTGACGTAAATGCTAAAACTTATAACTTATTACCACTGAATTACTGTTTCGATCTGATAGGATTCCATTTGTTTTTTGAAAGGTTACTTATCCATTTCGGAAAGCGTGCAAAAAGAAGTCTTTAAGTGCCCTGCTACACCACAGCAAACCAAAATTAAAATATTACTCATGAAACGATAATTGGTGTCGCTGATTGTAAATTGATGCTCATGGAGAAGATAAATAACTGAAGTCATCTTATGATTCTTATACATGATCTATTTTAAATGTTATTTGATTAATGATGGATTAAAGGTGATTCATAAACTCTGCTGCGAGATATTTCGTGAACATATGTTACTGCCCCATTTAAGATTAAAATAATAAAGCACTTTTTCCAGACGCTGCATAAGCGTGAAGAATGCATCCTTTTGTTTCTGTGCGCGCTCCGATTCACTCTGATTCCTGAAAAACATAACTTATATGAAAAAGTTTTAAACCGAAAAGCAACGTCTTTGAAGCACCAAGAATTAAGACTAATCTTACGGATTACGAAAGTTTGAGTTCCACTTATAGCTTGAAGATAAGAGAAAATGAGGATAGTCTGCATAAAAATTTACCAATCTCATAATCACTACTTGTATTAGCTTATCCTAATATCATATTTATTTTCATACGTTTCCAAATAACGCCTTTTTTCATGTTCACGACGTTTTTCCTCTAATGCCAAACGTATGCTTGCAGCTGGCATTGAATCACTGCGAAGATATGTCCCTCCTTGCGAAAAACTACTTGTAACACCAGTACGATCACCAAATTGTGTCTAAAATTTGATATATTTAAAGAATTGAAGTACAGAACCCTTAACTATTTATTAAAAGATGTTTTATATTTAATTACGGAGATACTAACTAACAGCCTATTAGTGTGTATTTGAGAACTCACCAAAACTCCATAAAGGTAACAGCACAAACATCCCTACATTCCTGAGGTTTGTCTTTTCAGATTAATTTTCCCCAAATCTGAACTAAACTCACCTCCAGGGGTAATGCCGAAAATGAAGTTAGAATGCAATATTACTCACCAGTTCACCAAAGCTGGTTTTATAACCAGTAAAATTCTTCTGATAATGATGTTTCATTGGTTCACCCGAGCTATAATTCCAGAAGTAAATATCAACAGAATCTGTGGCGCATAGTTCTCATTATGTTAAAATAGCTATTAAAGCCATTGCAAACTTATTTTATCCTACATAAGCTTTCTTACTCAACCAAGAATCTGCCATCATAACGCATAATGATTAGTTTCTTGGAGGACTTTATCATTTCTATGAAATGCTGTTGCCGGGCAATTCCTAGTATAATAATCATGAGGATTTTCCGTGATAAAATAATCAACGATCCTCATGAACATCACACTGGCCAAATAGCGTTTTATGTTTTTGATCAATTTTTCGTGCTTTAAGTGGGAAAAAGTAACGAGATTTCATTTTGCAACATAAAAGTCAGCACATATTTAATATGGCAAAAGAGTTCATACCGACTGGTCATCAATGAGTCCGAAGATATCGCAGAAATTGCTGAAATAAAAAGTCTTTTGCTGAGTAAGATAAAAAACTTTACAGCTAGTCTTAGAAGTCACTGCCAAATTATTTCTATTAACTTCTCACTTCAGAAATAATTCTCAAGCACTTCTACAAATTGAACCGCTCGTAGATAAAATTAAATGTAGTGATGAATTGACATGCGGAAGTAAAAGGTTAAAGACAATGAATAATGAACATTAGCTTACTTCGTGACATTTCAGGTTGAAAACGAGATCTAAACTGATTAAGTGCTTTACTAGGAGCAGTTTGAGATCGTAAATCAGGTATGCCATTTACCGGTACAAAACATCTTGCACGTGCAGGCGATGCCTCTATAGGACTAGTAACTGTAAGGGAAAGAAAAATCACTAGTCTCGATTAGTAACATAACAATAAAGCCGAATAATCAAATCCTTTCTGATGAAATACTCAGGAAATCTGCATGAATTTCTTACCGTTTCTTACGCCATCTCCTTCGAAAAGCTGGAAAAGATCGGCTAAAAAAGCGTTTATGTTTGGCTGTAAACTTTCATGAAGATATAGGATATCTTCGATTTCGAAATGAAATGGATTCCATGGTAAACGGGAACAGAACTTTCTGAAATACTCTCAAATATGTACCTCTTGAAACAGTAATGGAAAAATACAGAATATCCTTTCAAAATTATCATTCACCAACATACTGCATGAAATTACTTATAACTACTTCATTTAATGTTTGTGAACAGTTCAGGTTTTAGATCAGGAACGGTTCCGATTCAAGTTAACAGAAATATTTTATTTCTGAATAATCAAGTCCACAGATGAAACAAATTCTAAGTTCTAATCATAAACCGAAAAGGAGAAAAGCCTAGATCAAAAGCAGGAAAAAACAACAATTTACTTAAGAAGCATTAAGTTGTACTGGCAATCGGCAAGGCTCATTGGATCGTTGAAACATATGTCTAAAAAAAGGTTGAAACATATGTCTTTTAGCGGATAAAAGAATACTGTTCTTCTTCAACCTCCCTCTCCAAATTCCGCTTCAGTTCAGATACACAAAGTGTAATGCCATTTTGCCGATATTAAAACCTTAGAAGTGAGAATAATAAACTTCAAATTACTGTAAACATAATAAAAAATAAACCTCGTAGGATCATTTCATTAGGTCGATAAAATCCAACAAGTGCGCAAATACAGGCGCCATCGCACATATCCTCATAGAGATCCTCCATTTCGGGTACTACCATTGATCCATCTGAAAATTATGGAATAACATGAGTAGAGATGCTCAGTCAGAAAAGTAAATCGCACTTCATTTCATTAAAGTATATTACGCGCAGATATCACTATGAAAATTCCAAATTATATCAACATATTAAAATGTCATATAGTTCATCAGCTGTTCTTATAATATGTTAAGAAAATTTTCCACAGTTTATAAGATGTTCATCCTAAAGAATATGGATAACTTCCACGGGCCTACAAACAGGTGCAATTAGTTCCCACAATTCTTTGCACTCCACATCAAAAAATGAATCTATTATTTCAAAAATTCGAAATTTATTTTACGTAAAATTTTCGGCATTGTCAGCATCACATTCACTGAAATATACATTTATCCCGCAGAGAAAATATAAATTTTATATGTTTGAGAAAAGATTACTTACACTGTTCTCTAGGATTTTTATTCATCATCGTAAATTTTTCCATATCATCTCGTACCAGCAAACAAATTTTATTGATCCAAAATAGCAACGCATCAACGCTGTCCATTGGCTCTTCTCGTTTATCAACCGTCGTGTAATTCCTATACGTATCAGATAAATAAGTAGACTTTTGTGCTATAAACTTTCTTCACTTATTTTATTTCACAACTATCACTATTTTCAAAGCAGATGCAGGAACGAATGATCAAGATAGATAGAGAGAAGGGAATAATGAAAGGAATTTTTTGTTCCCTTGAAGTATGCACTATAAGATACTGAAATATGAATGAGAATTAAATCCTTATTCAAGAAACTTTAATGAATTAACAATCAAACAGTCTTTGCTCATATACATTCATTCTTTCCCAGAGAATGAAAATAGAAATCAGGGAGATTTCGGACTAGAAGAAATCCAATTTATTCCCAAGTCGATTTCTGTTCAATCTGTCAGTAATGAATCCTGCTTGTGATTTTATTTTACATTCAGTAATTTCTAATACCATTCCAATTGTACCACAATAAAATCCACTTACTGTACGGCTTCTACCACTTTATCAATCGTAATAATGGATCGCATATGCGCAATCATCAAGGAATCCATAACCGCCAGATGGGCAGCCTGCAAAAATTGGAAGTTTTTAACTGATACAAATTAAACTTGCTCTTCCGGAAGCGCGTTTTAAATGAAGTTCTAAAACAAATTAATTAAAAAATAATTCCATATTAAAATAATCGGATAAATGGTTCACCTGATGAAAAGGTTCAACGGTTGACAGCATCGCCTCGTTGATATTTGCTTCTTCGCCGGATAATGTGATTGGAATGGAATGATTTGTCAAAGCTCGAAGTATAACATTATGCGGCTTCTGAAATTGTACGAATTTTTACAAAGTAATATTCCTATAAGTAAATGATTGCCTTCATCAAGCAATTGGCTTAATCTATGACACATTTACTTCCAAAAGAAACCCAAGGAAAACAGCTATCAAGTGGACACAATCTCTGAATTCCGCGGAAAAGGTTCAATTTCTCGTTGAAGGAAAAGGAAGAAAAAACGACGGGAAAACAAAGAAAGAATTATGAAGAATGGGCAGAATTTCGAAAATTAGTGGTAGCAAAAATTGGTGGTCAAGAAAAAAAAAATTATAAATATGAGAATTCCTTTCTCAGTTTCCGAGGTTCGAAAAGCGGCAAGATGTCGAATATAATCATGCATCACATTTCCAAAAAAAAAAAATAGTATCAACAATAATAATAATAGCAGCAAACTAGAGATTTTTAGATCTTATACACCAAAACACTTTTGATTTCATATGGCAAGATTTAGCGCCTGTGTCCATTTGATTCAAGCGTTCGCATCAATTATATGTTGCATCAACCAATGTAACGTTTGCAACTTTCATACAACTCAAAACGTTCCATATAAAACAACAGTAATTACGCAAAGAAAATTTTTGAAAACTGCATTATTTCCTATAACTAACATTAAGAAGACTTTGATCCTTGAGTATTTTAGCAGCAGCATTACTGTATAATGATGCATTGGTTAAACCCGTCACTACGGCTGCTTCCAACTGGAAAGTATTCTGAAAACAAAAATTTACTTTTTCAAACTATGAGAAAACAGAATGCAGAAATTGATTTGTTATATAAACAAAAAGGATTTGTTGACCAAAATGCCATAATTTGAATATGCTTTCACATAAATCAAACGACTCAACTATTTCCACCTGAAATGTTGCCGTCGGATCAAACCAGAGTTGGAGAATTCTAACGCTTCATAAAGTATGCTATCATACTCCCGAGTTATGCAAGTTTTAATTCAAGTTCCTAAACAAAAATCCACTATAATCCTGTCAAATAAAAATTTTCGTACTGAACAAACATAATACGAAGTACTAACATTGCTGTTCTCTTTGATCGGTTTTACTAAAAGGTCAGGAGCCATACTTCCGTAAACACGTCCAATTAACCATTTCACCGATGCACTTAGTTTACCCTTAAATATTTTTGCGTTAGCGAAATTTACACTTAGATAATCTATGGATGTAAAATAGCAAAAACATACGATCAACCATTTATCTCATCTCATTGTCTGATAAGAAAATTTCTAATTATTCATTTTACACTTTAATAGTACTTCAGTCCTATGATTTAATTTTAATCACTTATCCCACTTATTTACAGGTCTCCTTATTCCTAGCAGGAAAATGTAGCAATTAAAGCAAAATGCGATTGTAGCACTACTAACTAATTAATTACTGCGTCCTTAACTTTAATTTAGGCACAAAGTTTCGAAATAAACGAACTTTCTCGACATTATAACAATTGATAGGAGTGATCCCGGGTAAAGGTTCCTCCATGCTTCTTATTCGTTTCAGTGTAACCCGGGATGAGAAGCTACACAGTGACGAGTGCAGCCACTCGTTTAGTAACACTAAAAAAAATTATAATTAAATTTTACTTCAAATTTCATAAAATTTATAATATTTCAGACGTTTTTTTCGACATTAAATCCATAGAATGATGATTCCCCGTGAAACATAATAAAAAAAAAGAAGACAGTTCCGTGTGAAAGACAATAGAAAAAAAGCGATGAGCAAATCTTAATTATATCTTTTGAACTATGATTTAAAATGGAATCAATCAATTTCTAACGAGCAATATTTTGATAAAAAACATCAGAAACTATTGAAGCAAAATAAAATGTCAGAGTAATATTTCCGATAAAAAATATAAGAAATATTGAAGCAAAATAATGGACAATTTTGTGGATGTTTAATATCAGAATAACCCAAATTAATCATTTCATCATTTCGTGCATCACTTTAATAAAATAGTAAAAGCAAAAAAAAACGCAATTTCTGTAAATATTATTTCTTAATTGACGTCAAAACGTGTGGATTATTTTCGGTACGGGTAGGACAAAGAAAAGGTGCCAAAGCGTAAAAGGCTAATTTAGCATTAGTTTTTGTTGAAAAAAAAATAAAATACCAGATAAAAACATTGAAATAAAGGATTTCTTGATAGATAAACTGTTGCTTAACCATGCAATGATTAGATGATCTTATCTTCCTCCCAACAATCAACTCCTCATGATTTTGAGAAGTGGAGAAATAAGTATGCCTTAATGTCAGCTGACTCATTTATTACACTTCAACTAGTCTTATTGTGCTAAACAAATCTCAATGGAAATGTTTCACAATGTTTAGTACAGGATCATTTCAGTAGATACCATCCTTATCTGTGCTTATCATACATCATCAAAATTAATTGTCATAAATAATCGAAACCAATGTTTCATAAATATAGTTAATTAATCGGGGATTTATAAAGACATTAAGCTAAGCCACACTCTGTATTAGTTCAAGTGATTTAGAAAAAATTTCAAGTACACAAATACGGTACAATTTGAAATATTACACATATGACATAATAATGTCATTTTGCTAAACTGCTTTAGTATTTTATTTTTTCTGCACTTCAAAACAAAAATTATTCTTCCAACATTAATAATTTCATTAAAAAAAGAAAAAAATTATAAATTCACAAATTTCCTCCTCGTCTAAAAAAATGTAAGGCGACAACAATTACTTAAAAATCAGAAAAAAAAATTGAGTGAAATTAAATTATAGTCAGAAAAAAAATTAAGTGAAATTAAATTATACTGTAATATATGTTAAAAGGATAAGAAAATCTTTCATATTTCAAATATCTGTAAATTGTATATATCTATCATAGCAATTCAAATATTAAAAACAATTTCACATTGTTCAGAAATCAAAACTTGACACAACAAAACATGTTTTCGTTCGCCGCATATGGATTTTCTGCCATATCAAAAATTTATTCGCTTTGTGATGTCAACAAATTCCTAATTTTTCAAAACTCTTTCGTCAACTTATCATCTTAAGAAGACATTCATTTCATTTCATAATGCGTATCATTCTCTGATTTATCCATAAAATACACTATTATATCTCTCATCATTCCTATCAGTCCATGCTATCTTCGTCAAATGTTAATCACTGATACCCTAAAATCAAAATTACCCAATAGGTGTACTGATTTTTTTCTCGTTATTACAAAGAAAAAAGTAATTTACATTACAAACAAAAAAAGAAAAAAACCTTCCGTTGGGCAATGTTAGCCTCAATAAAAAGTTTCCGTAGTACCAAAATGCAAGGAAGGAAAAACGATACAATGTTTTGTCAAATATAATTGATGTAAACAAATATGCAAGAAGTAAGAATCCCTAAAATATAAATCGAAATTATTTTAGTAACCACAAATTATAAATATGAGCAACCATCAACGTTTATTCCAACAATAATTTTTAAAAAAAGAATAGAATTTCATCTAAAATTACAATTCATTTTTAATAATTATTCATGACGAATTTTGATGTTTGCTTATTTCAGAAATGTGATGATTTGTAAAGAAACTACAACTTATCATTTAAGATGCTAAACAGACTGTAGCTGTAGCTCACGTCATAGATACGCTAGAAGTGATATAAAGCGTTGATAGGAGAAAATTACATAATAGGAGAAATTACCAGATGAATATTCACTTACAGTCTGTTCGGAATGCGAAAATTTTTGAAGCTCAAAAAGTAGGGCTAAATTCGTTTGAAATTCCAATTTAAATCGAATCGATAAGGAAACTCAGACCAATATTCAACCCCAATCGATGACACAATTTGATAAACTTGATCCAAAATAAGACGATAACAAATGACAAATATAAATGCGGACCAACGATTAATGCATACAGATCCATAGCGCAAATTTTTATGTCTCATCCATTCATCGAACAGTTCAATAAAATTATCATAATTATGCTAAATATTCCATATGAGTCAACTAAGCATAATTAGGCGTAGCAATATATTAACTACGTTATCAGAGTTAGGCTGAAGTATTTATTACAGCCATTATGGAAATTTTAAAAAATTTACCTTTAAATAAACAGTGACTAAATAAGTTTGCCAAATTTCAATGAATAAATTGTTTCGTTTATTTAAATCAATTAATTTCTATTTCTGAATATTATTACTGTAGATTTGCTTCTTACTCACTAATATTAAAGTTTCGTTAAATGATAATCAAGTTTTACTACTTTTTCTCTTCCTATCACTAAAGCTCCTTTTGAATGTTGTTATTGCGAAGCATTATTGCTTATTTAAATGTCATTATACTAAATATATAATTAAATTTTAACTAATTTCATTTTTAATTAATTTTTGCAAAATTTTGATCAATTTTATTTCCACAAAAATGTATGTGCATATGATGTAAATATTAAAAACACAAATGCAAAACTTTATTTTAAATTCTATTTGAAAATAATTGAAGCAGGACAAAGAATAAAATGTTTAAACAATTTTAAAACAACAACATTTAACAAGTTTCAACTAATGCATAGAGTGAAAAATGAGTAAATATTGAAGAAATTGAACAAATGAAATTTTTGATTTTTCCACTTCCCTCTTTTGTCTCGTCTCTTTTGCGCTTTTTTTTTTTCATTTTGCGCATCTCAAGTTATGTGATCTCTTGTCCTGTCATCTGATAAGATCGCAACAAAATATTTTCCTTTTTTCTTTTTGTTCAATGTCAAATGAACTATTTTATTCGAGCAAAAAGTAATTGATGTGTTAAATATAATTTTGAAATAATATCAATGAGATCAATGTGATAGAAACAAATAAAGCAAACAATATGCAATCAATTATTCCTAAAATAATTGAAAAATAAGGCATAAATTTAGATTTATTTAAATAATTTATTAATTTCTATTAAACATAAATTGAAACATAAAAGTGTATCCCATGTTGACAAACAATTATTCTTGCTAAAATGAAACGATATGTTTGTTCGATAATTCCTGGGAATATTTTTGAGGAAATATTCTTTTAAAAATGCAAAACATATGAATTGATTCCTTCTCACATCTACTCAATACAATAATTTTGATCGGGATATCTTAGCTAAATATTATAATAGCAACTCATTTTGATAAGAATTCAAATAATGCATTACAGTAATTCAGTTGATAATTTGATTCATTTATTTTATTTCCATTTCACTCATCAAATTTTATTAAACAACAACCACCTAACCTATATCAAAAAAAAAAGTCCAAAAACTATTCGAAAAATTATTTAAAAACTATTTAAAAAATTATTATTTAAAAAAAATCATCTAAAGGAATTATTTAAAAAGAAAAATTTAGCCTATTAACTGATTTTTACTCAAAAGTTCAACTAGCCGATTAATTTCATTTTTCCTTTTCACTATTGTAATTCCTATGGAAATGATGTAAATTTTGAATTGGATATAATTTGTATTAAAATATTAATTATTACATAAAGGTATACCTAAAACTTTTACAATTACAAAACAAAAAGGAACAGAGTAATATTCCTAAAATTTAACAGGATTAACAATTTTTTTTTAAATGCAATATTCTAGGCTTATAAGCCAGAAGAAAACAATGCAAAGAAAGATCCTAGACTTGTAAGGCAGAACAAAGCAATACAAGGAAATATCCTAGGTTTGTTAGACAAAAAAAAACGATGCAAAAAAATATCCTGAGCTTGTAAGGCAAAGCAAAACAATGCAAAGAAATATCCTAGGCTTGTATGACAGAATAAAACCATAAAAAAATTTATATCCCAACCTTTAGAATTGGGTGAAAAAACCATTAACAAACAAATAATCCCATCAATAATATTTAAATCCTAAAAATAGAATTCGCAAAAAATTTAATTTTATTAATTATTATAATTGGCATAACTTTTTTCGGCAGATTTTATTTGACGAAATAAATTAAATTGTAAATGAAATCATCGTATTCGTTGTAATTTTTTCACTTCCATTTCTGATTTTTCTTCAATCGAAATCTAATTAATGCTTGTGTATAATCACGTCTATTGAATAGTATAACAGGAATTATCGGTCCATTCGCTATTACAATTTTTCCCTTCGATCGATTACAACAAAATCTAAAAACTTACACTTTTTTTGAAAATTGATTTTTAATTTCATCTTTAAAATTTAATATAATTTTTGATATAATACTTTATATGACTTTTATTAATTCTTTTTTTTTCAACCAAAATTAAGCATAAAATTCAGAAATTACTAAATCATTCACATAAATAATTCCCGTCAGTCTGTTATTGATTAGCTTCATTTTTAAATTTGAAGAAAAAAAAATGAAAAAAATTTGAATACCTATAACCAGTTAATCGTTTATCAACATCAGCTTTTATCTCCAAGCCACCAAAAATACATCCTTCTGAACAGGTACCAGAAAGTGCTGTTATTTCCATTTCAACAGTATCACGTTGTCCAGCCTATTCAAATAATTTATAAATTTGATAAATTAAAAATAAATTAAAAAGAAGCAACAAATTGAACTGTGTAAAATGGTAACAATAACTTTAATTGTAGCGAAAACAATGATAATAATAACGATAATAATTATTGTTGAAAAAAGTAATAATAATAATGACAGTAAAAATGACAATGGTAAAAATAATAATAGTAGTAAATAATAATAGTGATAATAACAGAAATGATAATAACAACAGTAATAATAATAACAATCGTAATAATGACAATAACATTATTACTATAATAATAATAATGATAATAATAATGGCAACAGCAATAGCAATAGCAATAAAAAAAAAGTAAATAGGTAACAGTAAGTAATTTGGCATTTAATCTCAAAAAATAGCAATTACGAAAAGAGTCTTAT